CTTGGGGGTGGAAATTATCAAAATCCTTTCTTAGCGAATGCCTACGTCATAACATCTATCTGTATGCCAAATTTTAGCCCAATCTGTCCAGCGGTTTGGGCTGTGCGTTGATAGATGACTATGTCAGTCAGTCAATCAGTCAGTCAGTCAATCACCTTTGAATTTTATATATATAGATAGACTTAGAATACAAACTTTTTGCCGCTGAGTTCTGGCACGAGACCCGCCATGATGGCTGCCACTCCGACTGCTCCTCCGCCCTCCACCACGTACTTCTCCTGCTCAATCAGACGCAGGATGGCGCGAGCTATCCAGTCCTCGTTCACAGTTATCTGATAAAAAAGAAAACTTGAAGGTTAACTAAAAGTTTGAATTTTATCTGATTAAGATTCAGGAATATCTAAACAAATAAATAAAATTGGAGTAAAATTAAAATAAAAACCGATTTTAACAAAATAACATTTGTATAATTTCTGTTTGTCTGTCTGTTTGTACGGGCTAATCTCAGGAATGGCTGAACAAATTTTAACGGGACTTTTATTGGCTGATGTACTTAGGAGTAACATAGGCTATATTATGTTTAATATCTAACTTTTTATTGTATTTGGTCCGAAGATCAGATATATAAAAATAAAATTTATTATAGAGCATTGAGAATTGTAAATACAAGTGTTCTATGTCTCTATTTCGAATCAAAACCAATAGCTTAATGTTTATAAACAAGATTATTGCAAAAATCTTGTTGTAGCTGACTGACGTAGGTTTATATACCGGTTAGTGACGCTCTTCCGCAGTAGGTAGTACCTACACAGTTGTTTACGTAAATAGTGACGTCGTTGAACCGATTGATAAAAATATTTCACAATTCCGGAACTGACACACCCAAAAAATAAAACAACATAACATAACATCACGCCTTTTATCCCAGAAGGGGTAGGCAGAGGTGTACATTACGGCACGTACAAGTTTCCATATACCGAGCACAATTCCAGACTCCGTGTTACTACTGAGATTTTATGAAAAAACCCAGGAACACTACCTAATCCGGGAATCGAACTTGCAGCAGTCGCAAAATAAAACAAACAACGACAAAATGTCTGCCTATTGGATAGAACTTGCTTTCTAGTTAAGCTACGTTTAGAGGTATATGAAAGGTCTAAAGCTATTTTCAGTACAAATCTTTAGTACGATTCTCAAACCGCTTACCATTCTGTCGACGCAATCCTTGACGGTGGCGAATGCGTTGTAGCCGACGGTGGGCACAGCCAGACCATCCGCCAGAGTAGATCTGATCTCCACGGAGACTGGCTCGTCATGCTTCATCGCATAGTCCATACTCGGACACTTCTCCGTCTCCGCACCCTGTGTGAAATATATATTTACGTATTAACTCGTCGAGTACCGTCATTATAGACACAATTATAGAACAATAGGTTGCGGTCACCGGTGACCGCTTGGTGTTTGACAGTTTAA